AATATACAGACAGATACGCGCAAACGTTAATATTAATTGCAAATTCACGCTCGTTGTAATTTCTCATTCATCACTGTCTAAAATTCGTGCGAACCAGCGACCACGTGTTCTCAATCAATTCATTGACATGCCATTACAGCACACGCCAAACAAATCAGTGAATTTTAACTCGTCAAACACGTCCACTAGTAATCCAAACGTCTTAACACCAATCTCTTCGAACATGACCACAAACGACCCAACACTGACCATCGGTGACCATCGGTGACGCCGCCGATGTAACCCAGAAGACTGCATCAGTTGTAGCTGTGTCCAGCTGCAAACTCCCGCAGTTCTGGTCCATCCAGCCTCGTTTGTGGTTTGTTCAGGTTGAAGCAGTGTTACAGGTGGCCCGTATCACAAATGACGCATCACGTTACAATCAAATCGTTAGTGCTTTGGACACTGATTCAATGTTACAGCTCGCGGACTTCCTGCAGAATACACCAGAGACCAACAAGTACGCGAAGCTGAAGGACGAGATATTGAAGCGGTTTTCGGAATCCAGCAACCGCCAGCTTCACCGAGCGCTTACGGAGGTTCAACTCGATGATAAAAAACCTAGGCAGCTCCTACGCCAACTTGGACTGACCCCATTCTGCATCTTGCCATTTCCAGCAGTCATTATCGAAGGAAGAGCCAGCCTCAGACAAAAAGAGGTTCTGCTATTATCACCGTCTCTAAGGGTCCAGAGCCAAAAAGTGCGAGCGTCCTTGCACCTTCAACTCATCGGCGGTAAACTAACTTCGCTGTCGACCATCCAGGCGGCCGGCGACAGCATAGAGGGTAACACACCACCAACCAGAGAGCATCGCCTTCACATTCATGATCGCACAACAAACATGAGATTTCTTGTCGATTCTGGATCAGTGATCTCTCTCATGCCCAAGTCCGCCATCACTCACACGGTTAAAGAAGATTATCTGACTCTCTTCGCAGCCAACGGGACCGTTATCCGAACCTACGGTCGAAAAGTCATCACCCTTGGCTTCAATCTTCGCCGCACATTTAATTGGTATTTTATAATTGCAGATGTTAAATCAGCCATTCTCGGTGCAGACTTCCTAGTCCACTTTGCATTGCTTCTAGATCTCAAAGGACGATGTCTCATCGATACAACCACGTCATGCACAGCTCAGGGCACACTATCTGAGGCCACGGTACACAGCATTTCAACAATAGACCGCTCAATCTGTCCTGGTGCACATGACGCTAAATACCTGCAATTACTCAATCAATTCATCGACATAACTCATCCCAGCACCAATCCTGTCACAGCCACTGACAGTCAAGTCGCTCATCACATTGACACAATTGGGCCAACAGTATTTGAGCGCCCACGATGTCTCACCGGCGAGAAACTACAAATAGCTAAAGATGACTTTGACCTCCTGCTACATCATGGCGTGATCCGTCCATCGAGCAGTCCATGGGCCAGCCCTATCCATATGGTGTCAAAGAAAACTGGTGGATGGCGCACCACAGGTGACTATCGAAAACTAAACGCGAACACAGTTCCAGATCGATATCCAGTCCCTC